GAAAGAAAAAAGTCTGAAACCATCGATAGTATCGATAGTTTGCGAACACTAGCTTAAAGATTTAAGTGAATTCCCCTTTAGCGCGTATAAACAATTTTTACTGGTCAAAACAAGAATTCCCTTTATGTATAACATCAATGTCTTTTTTTGCACGGCTTCTTCTGGAACCAATCTACCGTGTAAAAACAGACTTAGGTGTAGTGGTAAATTAGAGCGAAGTAGGAAAATAGTTGTGATGTTAATGAAATGTTTATATATATATTTTTGAAAAAAAAGGATAATAATAAGATAAGATATTTTATAATAATATAACTATAATAATGGTAAGAATTTTTAATTGTATTCATGCATAATATGGAAAAAATTAACTGTGCATGAAATTATGAAATATATCCATTAAAAATGTTTTAATGTGTGTATCATGTCCGAAAATTTTCACAGCAGAAGTGAAAAAGTAGTAGAAGTGAAAAAATAGTAAGTTCTCTTAATCTTACCATAAACTGGACATTCTCAACACCGTGGTAAGTTACTGTCAGGAGAAAAAAATTACACACTTACGCTGCTCCTCGTTTTCTTATATGAACCAGACATTACAGGTGAAATTTTTGTAAATGTTGCCTGCGTTAGGGTAAATATGAATTTTTGTGAGGATTGATCGTTACCCAGTTGTTCAAAAAATATCCATTGTCTGATATTATGTAGTTATATAGCTAGTTACATAGTGATCTAGTTACTTTATACCCCAAAAAGGGACACAAAATTGACTGTTGAATTAATTTGTCGATAGAAAAAGTTGTCTAGGCACATCATACTAATTCGATAGTCACTGGTAATGCAAAGGGTAATGCATCAACTATGAAGGCAAAACAAAACAGAACAATTGTTTGGAATTTTAAAAGCAAAAATTGAATAAATTGAAAAATTTAAAATTGTTTTCCGGACAAAAATATATAACTTCAATATTCGAATGAAATACAAATTATATATCTGAGGTAAGTTTTGATATTGTAACACAATATAGATGTAATCCTTCTACAGACTTCATTTCCAGATTTCTATGAATATCGTCCTTTCAGAAACCTCCACATATTCAGAGAGAAAACACATAAAGGAACACACTACTAAAGGAGCATTAACATGTCTTCTGTAAACATTTAATGTGTCGCTATTAAATGTATTGCTCCATAGAGGTCCCAACGCATCAATGAATGCTCCCGATTTTCTATAGGTATGTTTTAGATAACAAAAAGGGCTTTATGTAGGTCTTCTAGCTTTAACTATTTCTAAACCGTCTATTTCAGATAAATCTATATAGCAAGGGAGATATATTTGAAAAGCACTCGGCCGACAAAAGAATCGTGAACTAGAGACTTCCAGGTGGATCAAACAATATATTTATATGTATGCAATACTCTTTTATACTAAATATATTTGTTCTGAATAAATTGTAATTTTTCAAACTGTTATACATCTAATTTTCTATACATAAGTAACTAGGCATTTGATTTATAGTTTGTATCTACCCAACTAACTGACTATAAATCACTAGTCAAATGTACAATCATTTACTAACGAAATGCCTGGTTACTGGTAATGAAGGCAGGGGACAATTGACTTCCCTAATGACATACCCATGTTAAATTCACCAGTCTAGGGCATGATGTGGTAACTAGTCGTAGTTAGAGGTAACTAGTAAAATAACTAGTCCATAACCAGTTACTCGAACTAACCAAATAAAAATAAATGAAAACTGAAAGTTGGCACCGAATGACTAGTTCGTTTGAGCAATAGTTCGCTATATCCGTTGTTCGCTATAATAATAAAGGTTTGGATGCAACATTTGTCTTAGAACTTCGGGACCAGAAAAGTATTCTCTATAAATAAAGTTCATTATAATCGGTTTCCGTTATAAACGTTCTCGAATGTATATACAAATATATATATGTTGGGTTTATGCTGAATTTTTTGATATGACAAATTTAATATATACTCCACCTTATGATGGAGGATATAGAAAGATTAATGGACATTAGTGAAGCGGTTTATAACAGTCTTAAAGAAGCGGGATTGATTTTTTATTGTATGTACAAGATTTTATCTGCAATAACTCCAAAGCCAAACGACATCAATAAATATCTTAACGTAAATGTTACTTTTAACATGTAAAATATATTTCTGTTAACAACGTGAAGGACTTCCAATGGGTTCACCAGAGTCATCGATCATAACCAGTGTCACCGATCATAGCTGCCTAGTAATGGAGGAATTATTAGACGCTTCAATAGAAAAGCTGACGATGAAACCATGGTTATAAACGAAGTACGTGGACAATACACTAAAATCGACTTTCCGGACATAAATCCGATCATGCGTAAGCTGTGGTCGGTTCACAGCTTACGCATGATCGATGGCGTTGAGGGTTCTGTCGCATCTTGGAAATTGCGTGTAGAAGGGCGTCTCTTAGAAGATGGCAAAGGTGACCCAAACACTAAAATAAAACGGAAGTTTTCATCATTTTTCATGTCATTGGTTATTGAAATGGACAAAGAGTTATATGGACCGGATAATCCCTTAGTGGAATGGCATCGCACACACACCACACAAGAAACGGATGGCTTCCAGGTTAAAAGACCAGGCTAGCGAAATGTTCGCTTTTACAATATTGCTGTTGTTGGACTATTAACCACTGCAGTTTAAGCTAGATCCATCTGCTCTTTGGCAGTACATCAAGACACACAAGTTGCAAGATGCCCATGAAAGGGAGTACACCAATTGTAACAAATACCTAGAGCAAATTTTCGGATGCCAAAAATTGAAGTTCGCCGAAATTCAACAACGCCTCAACCCTATACTACAATCCCCCCGAGCCAATAGTTATAAATCACTTTATCGAAAACGGGGCTGAAAATAAGCAGACCGTTTGTTACGATATTGATGTGGAAGTTGATGATACACTGAAAAACCAAATGAACAACTTCTTCATGAACACTGCCAGTCAACATGAAATACAGGGTCTGGATGCCAAAATCCATGAAACCGTGGACACTATCAACCAAATGAAAACAAATCGGAAGTTTTACCTAAGCTTTGCAAAAGATCCTCAAACATTTATTTATAAAAAGTCACTAGGAGCTCATTGCTCATTGTAACACAAGAAAATAATTAAAATGTTTCACATCATAAATGTACCGATGGGAAAAATTAACTTTAAAACTGACACAGACCACTGTGCAAATTTTTAAAGGAATTTATTTTATTGAATGGAATTGAGTTTAAATTTAAGTAAACGCTTTTCCTTTACATAAAATCAATACAAAATTCGTGTGTTTTTTTTAATTTTCGTTCATCAATTTGTAACCAATTGTGTAACATATCTCTGATGAAGAAAAAACTAATTAAAATATAAAGAAACTATTTTTCATCCACCTTTAGCCGAAACATAAATAAAAAGTATTTCTGATAATGCTACTGAAATTCGTAGTTAACAGAAAAAATAGAGAATTCCACTACTTGTGGGGTTTTTTAATTTTTGGCATATTGGGGAAGTCCCAACGTCTGTTCAATTGACACGATTTAGCATCGGCTGCCAACTTGAGTTTAAAATTACTTCTGTTGAGTTTTGTTGAAATTGGGTCAGATTGATATATAATTCTCATATATAATATATTTTCGTCGTATATCATTTAAATAGTGCAACAAAGACCCTATGATTAACACATAACCACTACTGGACTTTAATTTTTTAACTAATTCTGGCTATATCTACACTCAAAAGAACCGTGCGCCCTACCGCAGTAGTTTCGGTTCTGATTCCAACAGCAATTGGGGCTTCCAGTGGAACGTTGTTGGATCGAGCAACAATCCTTGCTCTGTACATATTCCGATCCCTCTGCAGAACTAATTCCCGAGCCTGAGATGATGAGTGTAATAGTGCTGACCCAAGTAAACATTTCTTTATACGTCCCAGATGCGACTGCATTCTATACTATAATTGATATCAACAAATAATATTTCAAAATCTGTTCACAATTTTGTCATCAAGGTGCGTTCAGACTAATGGGGTTAAGTACTCTTTGATATTAACAAACTGTACCTCGAAATAATGGTTTTTGGAGAATATTTTGATGTGTCTCAAATTGTAAGAATGTGACTTAGTGTGACCATTTTTCCCTTGATCCTGATTCCAAGCATGGAAACAGAATAGGCAATATTGTGGTGATAAGGAAATATATAGGTCACAATAATTTGTTTACATTATATGGTCTAAATTATCAAGAGATTGCAAAGTTATAATTTTAAGTACTATTCTTCATATTTATTTTATTTTATTTGGAAATATATACAAACCGATTTCCGAAATCAATATGCAATATCTTATTTACTATTTCTAGCCAACAGCTATCAACAAAAATCTGTAATATTCCAATCAGACATTGTTGTATTACTCAACATTTATTTCTTTGTAGTCTGTGAAAATAAAAAAAAAAAATTCACGAATATCAGTAATGAATCTTCAATGGTGAAAGTTCAAAACAAATTCTAGAAGTCAAAAAGTACAATTTATGACCAAAAAGGATTTCCTCTTATCAAAACAACCGACAACTGATGATAACGTGATGGAATACCTCTGAAATCAGTTCGTTCAATAATACCACTTGAAAATGCCATAATCTCAGACGCGTTCATTTTTGTATTTTACCAAAATAAAATAAAAAATCAAAACAAAACGATTTTTGCAATATTTTTTGAAAAATTTACAACATCGAATCAACATTTGACGTTGTACGTACGAGCTTCTCCAGTAAATGCATAAGGTAATGTTGGCGGCTAGCGTAGCAGTAAGCGAACGACGATACCGCTCGTCGTTGTCACAGCTTATCTACAAACTATGAAGAAAATAGAAAACTTATCTATCGTTGAAACTACGGGTAGCTTCGGCAGCATGCTGGCTGTGGGATGTCAACGCAGAACTATGACTATATAAACCACAGCTGGGGCCACAGTAGTCACAATCACATCGAGAATGGCAAACAAGCTTAACCTAGTTTTGGGTTTCTGCCTTTTGACAGTGGCCTTGTCTTCGGGCGAACGTGCCCGTTACGACAACTACCGTGTTTATAAAACTACCGCCTCCAGCCCTGCTGAATTGGAAGTTTTGAAGAACTTGGAAGGTGCCAGCGATTCTATTATGTTCCTGGATGGCATCCACAACATCAACAAGCCCATCAATGTTGTTGTTGCTCCCCACAAGGTTCCCGATTTCTTGGAAATTATGGGTGCTAACGAAATCGAATACGAATTGGTTGAAACTAACTTGCAAAGCCAATTGGAAGACGATGAAGAACAAGTTGCCAGACCCAATCCCCGTGCTCGTTCCATTGACTACAACTGGAACCAATACTACCAATTGGAAGATACCTACAAGTGGATGCAACAATTGACCGTTCAATATCCCGGTGTTGTGACTTTGATTGAAGGCGGTAAGACTTATCAAGGACGTTCCATTTTGGGTGTTAAGATCTCCAAGAGCAAGACCACCAAGCCTGGTATCTTTGTTGAAGCCGGTATCCATGCCCGTGAATGGATTGCTCCCGCTACTGCCACCTACATGATCAACCAATTGTTGACTTCCAATGTAGAAAGTATCCGCAACATTGCCGAAAACTACGACTGGTACATTTTCCCTCACGCCAATCCTGATGGTTATGTCTACACTCACACCACCGATCGTATGTGGCGCAAGACCCGTGCTCCCTACGGTAGCTGTTTCGGTGCTGATCCCAACCGCAATTGGGGCTTCCAATGGAACGTTGTTGGATCGAGTAACAATCCTTGCTCTGATACCTATGCTGGTCCATCTGCATTCTCTGAAATCGAAACCCGTTCCTTGTCTGAATACATTGCCTCGTTGAAGGGCAAGATCTTCTTGTACATCTCGTTCCATGCCTACTCGCAATACTTGTTGTATCCTTATGGTCATACCGCTTCTTTGCCCGCTAATGGTAAGGACTTGAAACAGGTGTTTGATGTCAGTGTTGCTGCCATGAATAAGCGTTACGGAACCAAATACACTGGTGGCAACATCTATGATGCCATCTATCCCGCTTCTGGTGCTAGTGTCGACTGGGCCTACGAAAATGTTGGCACCAAGATGGCTTTCTGCTATGAATTGCGTCCATCTTCGAATTCCGTTTTGACTGGTTTCAAATTGCCTGCTTCGCAAATTATTCCAACCGGTGAAGAGACAATGGATTCGGTTACTGCTATGGTTCAAGAAGTACAGAAATTGGGTTATTTCAAGAACTAAGATGGGCGGCGATGTGTTTGTATAGCGATTTAAACGAAAATAAAAAATAGATAATTATTTAAATTAAAAGAATTTGTGTTTTTTATTATTTTTAGTTTTGGGGTAGTTGCAGAAAGTAGGTTGAAAATTACCAGATGAAATCTAACCTCCACAAAGAATGCTTATATGAGATGGGGTTTTCATTTAAGTTGATATGGTTTTTATTCTTCCAAACATTGTTCAAGTTCGAAGATGGGGAATGTAGGTCATCTCTTTTTATTAACACACCCACCAAATGTTTAAAAATTTTGCTGAAATTTAATTTTATATCTTGCGAACAGACTATCCGATTTGAACCAAACTTTGCATAACCTACAAGTCTGAAGATGGGACCAATTGGTTCACTCCTTCTGTACCTCCCCCATAAATGGTCAACATTTTCAATATTTATGCGTTCAATATTTGGCGAAAGGAATCTCCGATTTGAACCCAACTTTTTACAACTCATTATCCTTACCTAGCCTAGATTACGTCCGAAGGTAGGAATAAATCAAATAAAAATATAATAATCGACGATCTGAATCGAAAAAATGGGGCGTCCCTTGATATATCCGCCAAAACCGAAAGCTCTTCATACCGTTTATTTAAAATTTATAGTTCTATTTATAATGTTTAATGTATTCGTGGAACAACGTTTCTTATGCCATTATCGGATAAAATATGGATGAAAAAATACGAATATCGATTTCTCGTCTTTGGAGACCTTTTTTAAATCTCATAAGCGATATGCTTGTAGAATATTTGAAGCAAAAAAAATTGTCTTGTGATATTGTTTAACGGTTCAAGAAAATTAAGACGAACAAGGACTTGAGGTAGAAGGAGGATATGTGTTATAAAAATATTCCTCATTCGATTTGATTGCAGGCATGTCATATCAAAACTATCCTGCAATAGACACAAACAAAGGTATGAAGGTATTTTTCATCATAAATCGTAGGGTTACCAGTCAGAAATTCATTACACCATAACTCAAATCTTGACCTTCACCGACCATAAGCTCAAATATTCTGAAATAGCCACAAACAAAGCTATAAGGGTATTTTTCATCAGTAACCTCAGATTTACCTGTCAAAATTCATAAACCATAACTAAAAAACTTGACCTGTAAAGAATGTGTGCTTGCGGGGTTTCCTCCCCATATGAAATTGTCCACTCCACGGACCATAAGCTCGATTTTATTACATAGAATATTATTGCTGCTCAGTTACCCATTACTTCCAAAAATAAAAAAAAATCTTCATTTAAAATGTTCAGTAAAATATTTATTTCATAATTACATCGTTCAAATTCTATTTATTGAAATAGCCCAACTTTTGAACTTCTTGAACCATGGCAGTAATTGAATCCATGGTCTCTTCACCAGTTGGAATAATTTGCGAAGCAGGCAATTTGAAACCAGTCAATACGGAGTTCGAAGATGGACGCAATTCATAGCAGAATGACATTTTGGTACCGACAACTTCATAGGCCCAGTCGACACTTGCACCAGAAGCCGGGTAGATGGCATCATAGATATTACCACCAGTATATTTAGTACCATAACGCTTGTTCATGGCAGCAACACTGACATCAAACACCTGTTTCAAATCCTTAACATTGGCTGGCAAGGCACCAGTATTGCCATAGGGGTACAACAAGTATTGCGAATAGGCATGGAACGAGATGTACAAGGAGATTTTGCCCTTCAACGAGGCGATGTATTGAGACAAGGAGCGCGTTTCAATTTCAGAGAATGCAGATGGACCGGCATAGGTATCAGAGCAAGCGTTGTTACTGGCACCAACAGTGTTCCATGCAAAGCCCCAGTTACGATTGGGATCAGCTCCAAAGCAGCTGCCATAGGGAGTACGAGTCTTGCGCCACATACGATCGGTGGTATGAGTGTAGACATAACCATCGGGATTGGCATGGGGGAAAATGTACCAGTCATAGTTGTCGGCAATGTTGCGTACACTTTGGACATTCGAGGTCAACAATTGATTAATCAAGTAAGTGGCAGTGGCGGGAGCAATCCATTCACGAGCATGGATACCAGCTTCCACAAAAATACCAGGCTTGGCAGTTTGACCCTTGGAGATTTTAACACCCAAAATGGAACGTCCTTGGTAAGTTTTACCGCCTTCAACCAAAGTCACAACACCGGGATATTGAACGGCCAATTGTTGCAACCATTTGTAAGTGTCATCCAATTGATAATATTGATTCCAGTTATAGTCAACGGAACGAGCATTGGGATTTGGTTTGGCAACTTGTTCCTCATCTCCTTCCAATTGGCTCTGCAAGTTAGTTTCAACCAATTGATAGTCAATTTCATTGGCACCCAAAATTTCCAAAAAGTCAGGGGCCTTATGGGGAGCAACAACAACATTGATGGGATTGTTGATGTGATGAATACCATCCAAGAACATAATCGAATCACTGGCACCTTCCAAATCCTTAAGGACCTCTAATTCAGCAGGACTGGAAGCGGTAGTTTGGTACACACGATAGTTGTCGTAACGGGCACGTTCACCGGAACACAAGGCCACTGCCAAAAGGCAGAAACCCAAAACTAGGTTAAATTTCATTGCCATACTTGTTGTGACTATTGCAATTGTGGCACCAAATGGGGTTTATATATTGTTTTAAATGTGTTGTGGCATACAGAACCGTTGGCGTTCGATAAGTCATCTATTTTCACCTAAGTATTGATAAGATTTGACGAAGCTCATAAGACATACATATATTTGTTTTGCAAGTAGCGAGTGCATTTGCCAGTGCAGCCGGCAAAAAAGAACGATTGATCGAGGTTGTAAATTTTTCATAATTTAGAGCTTGTTTATTTTATTTTTTATTCACCTTTGTGTTTTTTTTTTTAATTATAAAACACGAATATCCAGACATTTTTTACAAGTTTTAAAATTATTTCAGATATGAATATATGAGGTTTGTTTCAAATATATGCCTTGGTACGTTCAACACCATTTTGATATTCAGTATTGGAGTCGATTATTTTGAAAGTACTTTAAGTCCTTTTTTTCTATATTCAGCTTTTTAAACGTTTGAGTTTGATTTGTTTCAAAAATATTGCTAAGTGGTATTAATTTTGCTTGCGGCTTTGTGCCCTTAAACATGATAGAATATATAATTTAATATGTTTTATAAACTTTTCTAGAAAACCAAGATTTGTATCAGAACCTAAAATGGACTTAAACCACTTTCAAAACAAACGACTCATTTATTGTTTAAAACCCCTAAAAATCGTGAAAATTCCAACATGCATATAAGCGTTAACTACTGCACTTAAATGTTTGAACCTTTTAATTTGGAATTAAAATAATTCAAAATCAAAACTATTTTGATTTTCGTACTGCATTAAATTCTCACACATACATTCTCAAAGTGACATAAAATGACTAATACTACTTCAAATGCCATCATACATGCCCTATGATGTGTGGGGCCCTTAAATCATATCCTCCTGCCATCTCGAGTCCTTGTTCGAAGTAATAAAAAATGGTACAACATGACCTCTACCAAATTGTGTAGGGTATCAAGACATTTATTCTCACCTGACTTGGAACCTTGTCCCATAGTTTGTCATTTAAAACTTCTACAACTTATGGTTGACAAAAAATCAAAGTAAAGACATCATAATCATCGATATGAATATGTTCGTCTAAATTTATATATAAATTCTAAAAAAAAAAAATATTTATAAAAAATTGTTGACAAAATTTACAACTTCGAATCAGTAAAAATAAAATTTGATTGTTTACGGTCAGTGCACTGACAACTGCATTCAATAAACCGAATGCTACCACAATCAAAACAAATGTATGTAAGTATTCCTTATAAGCATTGACAGGTCTTATCTATAAACTAAGTGAAAATAGACGTCTTATCGAATGGTTAAGGCGTTGTGTGCCACAACACCTTATAACTATGGCAATATATAAGCAACAGCGGGTGCCACAGTTGCAACAGTCACAACAAGTATGGCAAACAGATTCAAACTCGTTTTGAGCTTCTGCCTTTTGGCAGTGGCACTGTGTTCCGGTGAACGTGCCCGTTACGACAACTATCGTGTTTATCAAGCTACTGCTTCCACACCACCTGAATTGGAAATCCTAAAGGATTTGGAAGGTGCCAGTGATTCGATTATGTTCTTGGATGGTATCCACCATATCAACAATCCCATTAATGTTGTTGTTGCTCCCCATAAGGTCCCTGACTTTTTGGAAATATTGGGTGCCAATGAAATTGAATACCAATTGGTCGAAACTAACTTGCAAAGCCAATTAGAAGGTGATGAAGAAGAGGTTGCCAAACCAAATCCCAATGCTCGTTCCATTGACTACAACTGGAATCAATACTATCAATTGGATGACACCTACAAATGGTTACAACAATTGGCCGTTCAATACCCAGGTGTTGTAACTTTGGTTGAAGGCGGTAAATCCTATCAAGGACGTTCAATTTTGGGTGTTAAAATCTCCAAGGGTCAAACTGCCAAGCCTGGTATCTTCGTTGAAGCCGGTATTCATGCTCGTGAATGGATTGCTCCCGCCACTGCCACTTACTTGATTAATCAATTGTTGAACTCGAATATCCAAAGTGTGCGCAACATTGCGGATAACTATGACTGGTACATTTTCCCTCACGCCAATCCTGATGGTTATGTCTACACTCACACCACCGATCGTATGTGGCGTAAGACCCGTACTCCCTACGGCAGCTGCTTTGGTGCTGATCCCAATCGTAACTGGGGATTTGCATGGAACACTGTTGGTGCCAGTAACAAGGCCTGTTCTGATACTTATGCCGGTCCATCTGCATTCTCTGAAATCGAAACCCGTTCCTTGTCTGAATACATCGCCTCGTTGAAGGGCAAGATCTCGCTGTACATCTCGTTCCATGCCTATTCGCAATACTTGTTGTATCCTTATGGTAATACTGGTGCATTGCCAGCCAATGTTAAGGATTTGAAACAGGTGTTTGATGTCAGTGTTGCTGCCATGAACAAGCGTTATGGTACCAAATATACTGGTGGTAATATCTATGATGCCATCTACCCGGCTTCTGGTGCTAGTGTCGACTGGGCCTATGAAGTTGTCGGTACCAAAATGTCATTCTGCTATGAATTGCGTCCATCTTCGAACTCTGTATTGACTGGTTTCAAATTGCCTGCTTCCCAAATTATTCCAACTGGTGAAGAGACCATGGATTCGATTACTGCTATGGTTCAAGAAGTTCAAAAGTTGGGTTATTTTAATAAATAAGTAAAACAGAATTAACGATGCGATTAGGAAATAAATGTTTGCTGAAGATATATAATATATTTTAAGACTTTTGTCTTTTTTTGTCGAAAATGTGCGGATAATTCAAAGATTAACAGAATAAAAAAGATTCTGAAGTTAGGTTGTCTTGACATTCAGCTTCAAAAATCTCGAAATCCCTGCATAGATAAGATTACAATTTTTTAAATCAATGTTTATAGAAACATACTTTAGCTTCTATACTGTGACTCTATTTTTTAAATTGGCCAAACTTCAAAGTTTTTCTTTAGAATTTTGATTTTCTTAAAGGTTTTAATATGTAGATCGCATCGTATGTGAGAGACCTTTGATCAAATCCAACATTCAAAATATTTTTAAAGGGATTTGATAGCGTTGAGCCTTGCGTAATCGTAATAATCTTTTACAATCACTTAAAATCTGGAGGACATTAAGGGCAAAATACACTTCCGGTGTGTTTTCAGTAAAGCAAGAAAGAAATATATAAGAATCCACATTTCCCTTGGTTTTAATATTTTCCTTATAGAATACTTATGGGATATGTTCATTATCATTAGAATTTTCTTCCGAATTTTATTAAATCCGCATTCATCAAGAAGTATTGAACGAATTTTGGGATGTCCTTTAATCAAACAATGGCTGTTGGGTCAATAATAATAATTATTAGCATGGATATGTGGGGGTACCGTCATATGGGGATTACCCTTAAACTTTGGTCCATATTAGAAATTTTTAGTACAAGGATGTATACAAGGTGTTATACAATGAGAACCCAAAATACCATATGACAGCCAATTTTTGAGTCAAAAATTCTCAAAAGCCCGTTATAGGTGGGCTGCACCAAGTCGCCATTTGCAATGCCAAACATGCTAGGAGTACTAGCAATGCTTGTGCAAAATTTCAGGGCTCTATTTTAAATATTGTGATGTCTATCGTTTTTTCAACAGACAGGTGAAAAACTTGTCCAATTAACGAATAATGGGGCGTATTAACAAATATCACCGCACAGATACTTCACATTATTCAATTGAAACTTCAATGAAACAATAAATGGGTCGCTCATAAGTACTTTACCACATTAAAATAGTTCATATCTATGGACTCTTGAAAATAAATTAACAACTAGCTACTAGGTCACAGCACTTAATTGAATGACATAATAAAAACAAAAACAACTTACACTCGTTCCGCATAGGCTTGTAATTTCCTGCGACTGAATTTATTACCCTCACAGACACCAAACGCCGGGAATGGACTATTAGAAATGTGAACGCGATTTGTGGACATATGCACTTCAGTTGGCTGATCTATATATTGTATTATTAGATTGATAATGATGAAATGGGTCCAAAAGATAACGGCCATAATAAGAATTTTCCAAAGAGTACTGAAAGGTAATTGATTTAATTAATAGAAGAAATATTTATTATTATAAGAATTATTAAAGTGATTATTGTTCGGACTTACCGTGCATATTTGAAGGGTGTGTAAAACAGCAACAAGCGTAAACCATGTATTGATGTATTATTTAGAAATTCTTTATAATTTCTTTGTTTGATAGATTTCTTAAGGGAAACCATCGGTCACTGTTGGGATATTTTTTATTAATGATTGGACTTTCCTTGTGCACTTGATGTTTTTATATAAAAAGGCAACATCAATCATACTTTGATGGTTGTCATATTAATTGTTATGTTAAGGACATGCTATAATTTCCATATATGTTAATAATAGCACATATTTTAAGAAATTAACCCACCACTTATATATTGAATAAGTATATATTCAAAATGATTGTCATTTCGGATATATTATTATCAATATAAATATTACAATTGATCATTCATTAAATTTTTGTTTTTTAAATTGTTAATCCTTAAACTTTCATATATTATTATCTTTAAATGTTGCAACCTCCTTAAAATATGCTACAAAAACTATCGATTAAACAATGTTATTTGAATTAAAAAGGATATTGTCATATGATTAACAACACGAGATATTTTAATATATTTTAATGTTTACTAATCAATTTTTAAAATGCGATTACAATGTATCATTATACTCATGGTTCGATATGGCCAATGGCGAATTCCTTCGCCTCCGAACCATAGTTTTGGTAATCATCGGCCAATCCAAACCAAAGTTATAAGCAAAAATGTACTTAGCATGGCACGTACGATTAAAGAAACTTCCATACTTTGAAAGCTTCTACTGAAAAACTCACTTTTCAGACTTAGCATACTATGGTTCGGAGGCGTCGATATAATGCATGAAGTACAGTCAAGTATAAAATGATATATTTTCAGGTCCATTCGTTACCGACAGATATATACTATTATTATTGCTCTTTTTGGGTGCGGTATCAAAAGAAGTGGACTGACGGTTCCCATTTTCGGAATTGCTTTTGGTTTGGTAAACTTATTACAATTTGGAAAGTTTGGATTAAATCAATCATTCCGATACTGGATTAAACCATTTTCATATGTTGACACTTTGTGGGAGTGATACTAGGAGTGAACCGAACCTGATCTATGTAATTTAAATCCAGTGATTAGTGGTCAACAACTCCTCTTTCTTGCCCTGGCATATTTTTTGAATCATGTTTTCCCGAAGTAATCATTTACGTCATACGATTCAAATTTGGTTATTTTACACACAAAACTCTTGTTACTTTTGACCCTAAATAAATAGTTGGTCAGATTCTTTCCCGTGTAAAATTTGTGATGTTCGGCTTACAATAGTGTTCGGAATCATATACACCATTCACAATTTTAGAAGCTTGGCTTTCATTTTCGCCTCTGTCAAAGAAAAACTGTAAAATTTACCGAATTTTATCTTTCTTCACTTTCATTTTTAAGACGTTGTAACTCACAACTGAATGCTCCAAACAAAAAACAGCAAAATATTTTTTCTACTGCGAAATGTCACCCTTCCAACGAGCATAAACCTGAAATTGTTCGATCGATAATTTAATATTTCGTTTGCTTCATATAAAATTTACAAGTTTTCAAAATTTTGACCCTTTGTGGGGGAGGTACTAGAAGGAGTGGACGGATAAGTGCCATCTCCCAAACAATATATGAGCATGGTTAAAATATTAGGTTGTGTAAAGTTGTCCGTTCGCATAATATTACAAAATAAATTTTCAGCAAAATGTTGATCATTTTGCAACTAAATTTGAGTTTGAAAAAAATATATGCATCAAATCGGACTTTCCATTTTCCTAATATTGGATTTATGAATATTGAAAATTTTTTTATAGATGGAGATACCAGAAGAAATGGACCGATGGGTCCCACATTAGGACTTTATCTAGGCTGAATGTCGCCGTTTGGCATAGGGAGAGCCACCTTCTAAAAGTGCACCAAAGTCATCCACCGTTCTCACTAGGAAAATCTCCACAAAAAATAGCAACATTAAACGCGTTTTTCTCCAAACAGCGTTTTTGCGAATGGCGGGCACGATAACTCAAAAACTAATAACCCAATCGATTTCAAATTTTGGGACGTTTCTCTATGAAAGTATATCTATCGTATGAACTAGGATAAAGTCAATCGGTGAAGATATTCCTTATTTTTTAACTTAGTTTGTGGTCAAAATTAGGCGATTTTTCAAAGAAAAAATTCAAAGTTCTGCCATTTTGTTAATTGTTGTGCGAAATCTTCAATTACACTGTGCGACACGAAAATTATTCAGGGGTTCTAATGTACCAATTCTGTTTAGTTGGAATCACTGGACTACGAAAATACCTTTGGTTTTTCTGGGTCACTTCGAAAATTAGTTTTATAACGGTAAATATAGAGAAAAACGTGGTCTCATATATTTTCAATCGCGAATAACTTATTTACTTCATAACGTTATATATGTGCAAACTTACAAACCTTAACAAGCCTTAAAAATAAAAAATCGTGAATGAGGGTGGGAGTCCCTTAAAATAAGTTTAAATTTAGATTTTGTATTTGGAAATCTATAAATTAAATTGTTTGGGTAGGATAGGCCAAGTAAGGTATGGTGCAAGACGAATGAAGCTGTAGACCCTAAGCATACAATTCCGACCGTAAAGCACGGACTAGCCTCTGTAATGGTATGCTGCCGGAGTAGGAAAACTCTTTTTTATTAAATGAATTATGATGTATTACTTAAATATACTACAAGATAATTAAAAGTGTTGTGCTGGGAAAGTGGGATTGGGGACAAAATTTCAATTTTATCAAGGTAATGATCCCAAACACAAGTCCCAGATCGTTCGAGAATGGATGCTTTATAATTGTCCAACATCTCCTCAGTCCCCGGATTTAAATCCCGTAGAGAACTTATTTAGTATTTTGGAGAAAAATATTAGAAGCCATAACATCTCAATCATACCAAGTCTGAAAATGCTTTACAAACAGAATGGGAAAAATTCATTTACACGGAAAACTTGGTAAAATCTATGCCGGCAATGTTGAAATCTAAATATTAAACATAAAAAAAAATCGTTTGTTAAAAAAGTTATCTTGGATACTTTTCACTCTGAGTTTGCAATTGCTTTTGTTTAACAGCTATTTTTTATATAGAATTCACATGAATATTGTTTATTTTATTGCATTAATTTTAAGTTAAGATGTTCATGTTCACACATAGGTTAGGTTAGGGATGTACGGTTGTTAGTAACAACCGTCCACTCGGAGACTAATGGTTATTTTAGCCATGTCAGATTTTTGACAAAGCCTAGGATCTGGTTGGAGTCCTTTTTAGAGAAGAAGGCTAGATTATCAATTTCATATCTTCCTAACTGTTTATGTCTTCTGCCAATCAGCGATGAACATTTACAGAGGATATGTTGGATTGTTTCTAGCCCTTCTTCGTCACACATAAAAAGTATAAACTTTAATTAATTTTTTAGCATGAACTTAGTGCATTTTTACTGTATGTAACTAGGTGGATACTTTTGACTGTGACTCCCTGTATATATGTTTGCATCAATCAATGCAATCTAATTGAAAAAAAAAAAATATGTTGAAAATTTTCAATAGTTGACCAATGCAAGCTTAAAGGAAAAACACGCTACCAATTTTCGCCAAAAATATGTCAAAAAACAACTATGACGTTGTAACGATACAAAATTCGGATAATTTTGACAATGGCCATACAATTTTCTATCGCATTCGATTTCGGCGAATTTTAACCTCTAACAACTTTGATGACATTTATTAAAAAGTAAATTATAATTCCAAAATATCATCTGATATTAGGATCCATTTATTAAATTGTACTTATAAATGATTATAATAATTAAATATTGGACGGAATGTTAGGAAATAGATAAATTCAAATGCGGTGACAATACTGAAACCCATTATCAATCCCAACAGGCCACCAAAAGAAGCTGAAATAAAATAAAAATCACTATGAGTTAAGAAAATAAAGAAATATGAAACACGATTTACCCAAAGCTGACAACCAATTTTGATAGACTTCTTTGCGGTATCTGGTTGACATTAAATCACTGAAGAAAATATGCAATAAAATATTATTTGTGTCATCGGGTGGTCTCCTGTAAGAGATCAAGTTAATAACAATTATCAATTCAAGATAAATAGAAAATACGCAGGCTTACTCCACATCTTCATTTTGAAACAACAAGCGAACATTTAATCTACCCATGGTAATTTCTGAGACATAATTATTCGATTGACAATCCGGCAAACAATTACATGGAAATTTTGCGGTATTCCTTACAGCAGACAGGGTGGCATTATTGTCATTCAGTGCCCTGGTGAATACGACTAAAATTAATTTTAATTATTATTTTTCTTAAATATGCGTAAATTCAAAACTACATTCCGAACTTACCACGATACTTTAAAACACAAAGAACATCATCAACATCGCATACCGGATAACTACCATTATTTGCCAGCGTGTGTGGTATACAACCACATTTTTTCAAAATCAAATTGACACGACACTCCCACATGCAGTTCGTAAATGAATAACGTTGCATTACAGACAATTTCCGTTCGTGTGGGAATAAGCAATTCCGATCTTTTACATCTAATTTGTATATATCACTTGTCGCATATGTAGATTCAGGATTTATGTGTAGAAAACTTTCTCGAGCCGATGAAATAATTTTTGTTTCAGCATTTTCATCAGGAACTGTATATGAATCATGTATAAGTAGGCGAAATCCATAGCTGCTAAATGAAGATGCTGAATAATCGAAGGCAAAGGGATTGATGAGTATCGAAAGACCGGTTGGATAACCACAGCCCGTAACTCGATATGGACGTTTCGGTACTAAGTAAGCGATTTTTCTGGAATATAGGAAATGATGATATACAATTAAATATGTAATTTAGTCGAGTGAAGTGTGAGTTATGAAGAAGAAACTCTAAAGGCCATGCTTCTTTGTGGATATTGTAGTTTATTTTTGAGATGATATGTCTATTGCCAATTCTTATGTTGAATATTTATATTTGTGTAAAACATGTCCTTGTGTGTATTTTAGTCCTTATGTTCTCAAACCGCACGCTAAATACTAAATAAATTTGGACATCCAAGTATCCTACGAAGATTTCGCTCGATATTTGTATTGTTTCATCGTCCTTTACACTTTTACCCGAACACTAATAAATTACGAATAAATTGTACATCTTGCAGAACTGTATGTACCTATTAATACATTGTTGGCGCTTGAAACTGGACTAGGTTCTTTGTCCAGGTTTCCGTGCTCATCTCATCGGTATAAGCACTCTTCTTACTTCCTTATTTCATCTTTACTTTCAAAAATTTTACTTATCGGGGTTTTTGATACACAATTCGATCTATGTACACCCTAGTACTTTTCAATATTGTAATTTTGTCCTATAAAATTAAAAAAAAAGGTCATAAATGTGATGTATGTAAAAACCAGTAAGGAAAGTAGTAAAGTAAAGACTATATGATACCCTTCCTCACTGAGGATACATATGTAGAATATGTATCCTAACAGACGTCGCCTTTTCTAAGAAACATTGACATGAAATTGAATGAACTTAAATATGCGATCTTTATCTATAAGTAAACCAACTAACATCAATTCCAACACATGCCATTCTGCAACCTATTCTAAATTTTGTAAATAGATTTTAAGCACACGCACTGTTTAAAATGTATCAATCAGACACCCATTGATTATTTGGTGTACAGTCAACATGAATATGTCGAAATTATATATGGAAGCTAATCTGAACCGATTTCAAGGAAACTTGCTAGATTTTTATTAATTTCTGTACGTGTATGGGTCTGTATGGGCCTTTAGTGTACCATTTACTTAAAATCGGACAAAAATATATATAGAAGGTATATGTAAATCTGAACCAATTTCAAGAAAACTTGACACACGAAAGGCTATAGTAACAGTACATTGTACAAAATTGTGTGCCGATCGGCCAATCTTTGCGTCTTTAGTGCACAATTTAAATTAAATCGGTCGAAAATAAATATTGAAGATATATCTAAATCTAAACCGATTTTCTCATTCTGGACCTAATTCAGTAACCTATGCCAAATTTCGTGCAAACCGAAAGATATAGGGAATTTGGAGCCCCATTTACCTTAAATCTGACGAAACTATATATTGGAGCTATATCTAAATCTGACCAGATTTTCTCGAAACTTGGCACACATCATTCTGGACCTAATTCAGTACTCTATGCCAAGTTTCGTGCAAATCTTTGGTGCACCATTTACCTTAAATCGGACGAAAATATATATGGAGCTATATATAAATCTGGACCTAATTCAGATTTTCTCGAAAGATATAGGGAAACTTAGCACACATCATTCTGGACCTAATTCAGTACTCTGAGCCAAATTTCGTGCAAATCGAAAGATATATAGGGACTTTGGTGCACCATTTACCTCAAATCGGACGAAACTATATATGGGAGCTATATCTAAATCTGAACCGATTTTTCCCATTTTCAATAGGGTTCGGCCTTGGGCCAATTAAGTGACCTGTGCCAAATTTCATCCAAATCGGATCATAAATGCGACCTGTATTTTGTTAACAAAAATACATGGACGGACGGGACGGACATGCATAAATCGACTTAAAATATGATTCTATGCATATTCTAAAAAGGAACCATGCCTGTTACAAACATATGCACAAAGATATAATACCCTGTACCACACTGTGGTGAAGGGTATAAATATGCTAAAGAAGTAGCAACCGGAAATCAGTAAAATAATAAGTGAACCTTACATACCGTAACGGCAAAACCTAAGTACTCCACCAGTAAATTGTTACACCTTGCACAATATGGCGGAGTGCATATTAAATTTGCCATTCGGTTTGCAACAACTCGAAATATTCACCTAAATTCCCATAAAATATATTCTTAAATGGAATAAATTGCTCTACTGTTTAGGGTAGACCCCATATAACGCATATATAACCCCATATCAATATTCGGTATTTTGAAGCTTTTGAACACATTTTTTAACCTAATTGACTGTACATTCATATTTTGAATCTCCATGCCAACAATTATCAATATTGGCTCATGTTTCGGTGTAGCCCCATATAACGCTAACTCCAATATTCGGTATTTTGATCACACCCATATAACGTTAATTCCAAAATTTCTGTATTTTGGGGAGATAGGGCACGTGTTTTAACCAAATTGGCTGCAATCATATATTTTGGATTCTCATTGACTAGAAAATCTCCCCATCAAAAATTACACTGTGCGACAAATTTCAATTTTTTTTGATTATTACCGGGAAATTCCAACAGATTATGACACGTGTATCAGCGTTTTGAAAGATTACGTCGTGAGGTAACCTAAAAAGGCGGGGCAATATTTCCCCTTTTCAAGAATTTTGATAATTTTCGAATTATGATTTCATGAAATCCTTGTATTTTAGGTATATAGTGTCTTCGGTGGTATACACCTTTAACCCTAAACCGACACTTTGAAGGGGTATTTTCGGTCGCTTTTTCCAGAAGTGATTGAAAACTCATTCAAAACGGATTTAAAGCTGTTCAGAATATTCTACAGAAATGTTCGCCATAAAGTTTTACTATAAGTCTCAGAATACTATAAAATCAGCTTAAACGTCAAAGATCTTAAAAAAACAAAAACTGATTTTAGGGTTAATGTCGGACTTATTACCAGTTTTTACCCATTTGAGCAATATAGGCAATTTTTTCCAAGAATGTGTTGTACCCTTAATACCCCCACATAAAGGTATTAATCAAATTTCCTCAACGAAGTGGCTATAATTTGTCTTTTTATAAGAAATCTCGAAATCTACTTACTCAGGAAAATTATGTTTTGTCTCTCCGAAATAATTAAACGTGCAACATTCACCCAAACCCATCGATTTGATGCGTTGAAATAAACCGTCACAACGTGTATTAGTGCCCTTCCAAATACAACGCGATATCATATCCATACAATTCGGGGTCAAAGTGCGTGACAAATCACTAATGGTCATGTTATTCAGGGTCAAAACTTGCTTGGCGAAGGTCATATTCGCGTCCGTCTCATTAAACGCGAAACTATAATACATGACAATATTGAACATTTTCATGACATCTTCTTCGGTGGTGTTGGGTGGGCGTTTTCTGAAACAGAAAATAAATTAAAAAGTTACATATTTTTTGGTAAAAGTTTTGTTATATTTTTTAACTCACAAAGCACTGGCCATATTTTCCACTTTTGTTTTTGAAATTTTATTAAAATTACACAATGTTACAGCTGGAAACGGGATATTCCAAGTTGGATAATGTGAACTTTCGATAACGGTTACGGTGGGTGTTTCACCATTCCAAACATAGGATACAATTACCAATGATATGGAAACAATTATGGCTATTATGGTAACAATAAGCCAGAAAAATCTCTCATTCGGCGACAAATCCATGCGTGTTATATAATTGAAACCATGTAACGATGTGGTATTACAGAAGTTTCGAAAATTTTCCATAAACCAAGATTTAACAGTTTGGGTTTTATTTTTAGGTTTATTGGCTTTCGCAGATTTCTCTAAGTAGGCCATTGATGTTGCCGTTGTAGAAAATGATGATTTCATATAATGATCGAAACTAGAGTTATATGGAACCACATTTTTAATGGCAAATATGGGTTTAGTTTTAATAGCCATTTTTATGGACTTTACTGTTAAACTGTTCTGGAGAAACTGATACCTAATTGGTATCAGTTTCTCGAATGGTCGTACAACAAGTGATAGGTTAATCAAATTATCCACCCCCATGCATTTTGATTTTATTGACACCGTGACAGGATGACACTGACCGATATTAACAATATATAATTAGCTTCCTAATTACAAAAATAAACAAATGGTAATTGTTTTTTTTTTTATTTGTAAACGTATAGTTTATTAATTAATTTTTATATTTTAACATACAAAAAATCCTGTGTATAATTTCCATAGCTTTTCCTTTAGTCCACGCATCAACTCTTAACATTAACACTCCACTCAGTATGGACAATTTGCCCTAATTTGTAAAAATGCTTCGATGCGCCGTTGCCTTTCCCTTTCCTCCTCCTCTTTACGTTTCTTTTCCGCCTCTAATTGTGCCTTTCGTTGTCGCCGCTTAATGCGATAACGTATTTGTTTTTTGGTCAACCAATTACAAGCTGGGCGCACGAATACAAAAAATATCATTTCAAATCCTGAAACAAAACTGTAGCCCATGTGGAGTCCCGTTATGCCGCCAAATGTTCCAATAAATGTCAACCAATTCTCATAGACGTCAAAACGTAAACGTTCCGCATACAAATTGGCATAGAAGACATGCAGAACAATGTGATTGGTCACGTTGATATTTTTGCTGAAATAAGTAAATGCCAAAAAGATTAATAAATATACATTTTTAAATTAAAAAAAAAATAGTGGATATGGTGAACCAAGAAAATTTTCCATCAAAATCCTATCAAGATTTTACAAAACTCGTGAGATTTTCGGTATTAACAACGGAATATATCGGTCCAAGTTCTGGTTTAGTACAAATACAACATTTATGCCCCATTTTCGTTATTTTGGAGGTTTTGGTTGCATTTGGTAAGCAAGAAAGAGAAAATTTCAATAAAGACATAGCTACCACAAGTCAAATTTTGCGTCGATTTATGCATGTTCGTCAGTCTGTTGAAATCGAGGTAGAGCTCGCGAAATTTAATGTAAGGAGCCACCTTTGGTTTAGTCCCCATATAACGGCACCTCCAATTTTTCTGTTTTTGTGGTTACATTTTCCAACCAAAAATCCACATTTTTTTACTTTAAAGATATATTAAGAATATTTTGTTGTGGGACCAATATACGTTTCAATTTATTGAATAATATTTTGAAGGGGCCATTTTTATACCCTACACAACTATGTTGTCAGGGTATTATAGCTTTGTGCAGCCCCAAAAGTTTGTAACACCGCGAAATATTGGTCCTAGACCCACCTTTAAGTATACCGATTGTCATATCTCGACTAGCTGAGTCGATCTAGACATGTGTGTCCGTCCGTCCGTCTGTCCATTATAATTTGTAAACACGATACAGGCCACAGTTATGGACCAATCTTCACGAAATTTTGCATGTAGGATGGGTTCTGGCCAATGAAAGAAATAAAGAAATAAAGAACAGTTAATATTTAGGGGATGAAATGGACCAACTACTAAATTTTTGTCGGTTTTTCTGGTCGCTCCAGAGGCCGCAATTATGTCGCGAACATCGTGAAATTTTACATGGAGAAGGGGATCGGGCCAAAGAATAAGCATGCCTGTTTTGATAAGGATCGGTCAATATTTAGCGGGTCAAATGGACCCCGACTTTTGTGTGAAAAATTACAAATTTTGTATTCTATTGCCTATATATTTGCCCCTGAAGGACATAGACCCGAGAAGTTGATTGTATATCCAAGAGGAGTGGTTGACCTTTAAATTGATACCAATTATATGGTCGTACGTATTCAGATGTGGGAGTTACACTTAAATATTTACAGGTGCTTACGTATTGAGATATTATTTAGTAACCCATTACCACACTAGAGGGCGGAAATATGGTGCTGGTCGCTCTGAAATTTTCCAGTTGTGGTCAAGGACAACGCCTAGTATTTTCGGCGATGATCAGATAATAATTTTCGGATGTAGTGGACCGAAGACTTAATTTTTTGTTTTTTTTTCGAGTTCCGTGGAAGTTGTGTAGGGTATCGTATGGTCGGCCCCGTCCGACTATACTGCTCCGCTCACTGGTTTATGAATACTGACGCGTGGATATTTTAAGGGAATTTTTTATGAAACTTATGGATACATGAATTTCTTAGAAGCTTGGTTTTTTATGACATGGAAACATTCACCGGAGAATCCACAGAGTCATGATATGCATGTTGAAATTACCGTTAAACTCTATATATTTAAGATAGAGTTTTGAAATGTTGCACCCGAAGAGTATGATCGTGGGATAAATCGGTACATGTTTTGGGGTTGCATATTCGGTATGTTGGGCACGTTTGGCTGTAACTTGGAATTTTGAATTCACGTAACCAGAGGGGGGCCGGAGGGGCTCATTATATAGCGATTAGTGTGGTAATGGGTTTCTATTACCACACTAATCGCTATATAAATAGCCCCTCCGGCCCCCCTCTGGTTACGTCGCTGGGGTGTAGTGTTATATGGGGGTTACCGAAACAGTGATTCTGTTGAAAAACGCGTCTAAAACTCACAAAATACCGAATAATGGGGGGCTACCTTAAAAAGTTGACCAACATTGATCATTTTCGGTAGGAGGGAACCAAACGTATGGGAATGGGAATCAAGCGTAGCAAATTATAGCCAATTCGATTGAAAAACGTGTACAAAATGGATCAACAAATTTATTTTTGTCTTTTTTCCTGTCCCTCTAGTGATCACAATCTGCTATAGAAATAAGCATAGATGTTCTCGGTCAGTATTTGGTGGGTCCAATGGTCCAAGACTTTTGTGTGTAAAATTAAAAAAAAAATAATCCGCAAAACGAAGAACGTGGAAGGTGACTCTATATCAAGGAGGAGTGGTTGACATTTAAATATATACTAAAAATTATGAAGTATAAACTCGGATGTGGGAATTGAATAAAATATCGTGTCGAAAGTTACAAAATGTTTAAAGTTACAGCTGACACCTATAGTTTTCGGTAACGACTGGTAAATATTTATAGGATAAAAGTCCGAAATCCATGAAATTTAACCGGGATATGGATCTGAGCAACAAATGATCAAACCCTTCTACATTGCTATTATTATTAGAGGCACAAATATGGGCAATTGTCAGGGCCGCCAGATTTGACGATTTATCTTCATTTTAACGAATTTTGGTCATTTTTATTAATATGGCAATGTTTGGGTTCTGTTTGTTATGGCAACATCAAAAATGTATAAAGCGAATGAAAAAAAGTCGGCCGGGCCGAACTTTGGATACCCTCCACCGTAGATATACTGTCAGGTACTAAAAATGGAAATATAGGGAACATATCAAAAAGTGGACCTACACCGACATTTCTAAAAACGGATTAGGTAAACCAAAATGTAAACCATAATATAAAATTCAGAATTTTTAATGGATAATTATACCCTCAGCCTTATGGCTAATGAGGGTGTATACACTTTAACACGGTGAAAATGTGCCTCATAGAAATATTGGTTCTAGACCCCATGTTTCTTTGGATGAAATCCGTTTCAGAAAATTTAGATTTCATCCAAACTTTGCCCATCTTACAATTTCTTCCAAACTTAGTTCAAATTCGATGATGGGGAATATCGATCCAATCCTTCTGGAACCCCCACACAAGGGCTAGGTCTAAATGCGGCTGTAGTTCATTATCGAACCTTAAGTTTCAATTTTTTATCTCGATATCCTTCCAGGTGAAATGATTACAACAGAGTCTTACAGTACGTTTACATTTAACCGGATTTCGTTAACCCAGTGGTTTTCAATTGTCATTTCCTTTGCATATATATCAAATAAATCCTCATAAAGTAGGTTAACCCGGTAAAAAGTTCTAATGTACAAGGTGTTTTAGAACCAAACTCAAAACGCGTAATAAATCAGAGAACTATTTATACCCTACACAACTATGTTGTCAGGGTATTATAGCTTTGTGCAGCCCCAAGAGTTTGTAACACCGCGAAATATTGGTCTTAGACCCACCTTTAAGTATACCGATCGTCATATCTCGACTAACTGAGTCGATCTAGACATGTGTGTCCGTCCGTCTGTCCATTATAATTTGTAAACACGATACAGGCCACAGTTGTGGACCAATCTTCACGAAATTTAGCATGTAGGATGGGTTCTGCCCAATGAAGACCCCTATTGTTTTTGGTAAAGATTGGTTAATATTTAGGGGATGAAATGGACCAAATACTTAATTTTTGTCGGTTTTTCTGGTCGCTCCAGAGGCCGCAATTATGGCCCAAACATCGTGAATTTTTGCATGGAGAAGGGGATTGGGTAAAAGAATAAGCATGCCTGATTTGATAAAGATCGGTCAATATTTAGCGGGTCAAATGGACCCTGACTTTTGTGTGAAAAATTACAAAATTTGTATTATATAGCATATATATTTACTCCTGAGGGACATATACCCATGAATTTGATAGTATATCCAAGAGGAGTGGTTCACCTTTAAATTGATACCAATTATATGGTCGTATGTACTCGGATGTGGGAGTTACACGTAAATATTTTCAGGAGCTTACGTATTCATATATTGTTTAGTAACATATTGCCACAATAGAGGGGGGAAATATAGCGCTCATCGCTTTGAAATTTTCCTTGAGGATCCAGGTATGGTCAAGGACAACGCCTATAATTTTCTGTCATGATCAGATTAAAATTTGGGATGAAGTGGACCCAAAACTAAATTTTTTGTATTTTTTCGAGTCGATCTATAGGCTACAAACCGAAAATCACAACACAACACACGGTGAAGTGAATCTGGACAAGTAATTAGAAGCGCTGTACAGAATATTGGGATATTCGGAAAATATGTCAGTGTAAGGAAGATGTGCTGTTGATCTCTAATCGGTCTAGAGGGTGCAAATATCACGAAATATTGATCAGGCTCGAAATAAACATACGCAAAAGTTAGAGTTCTGTGGTAGTTGTGTAGGGTATCCTATGGTCGGCCCCGTCCGACTATACTGTTCCGCTCACTGGTTTAATATACAAAATTGCGTTATATGGGGACTACCCCAAAAAGGGTGAATATTAATAATTTTTGGTAGGGGGATTTGTAACCTTATACGGCTACAGAATACCAAATTGCAGCAAATTCGGTTGAAAAACGCGCTCAAGGACCCAAAAATACTGAATATTGGGGGTACCCTTATATGGGGGCTATCCGAAAAAATGGACCTATATTAATATTTTTTTGTAGAGAGATTGGGTACCTATTAAGAACTCAAAATACTAAATTACAGCTAATTCGGCGGGAAAAAAAACGATCAAAACCCCCAAAATACTGAAAATTTTGAGGTACCGTTATATGGGGGCTACCAGCAAAAGAGGACCTATATTTATCACTTTTTGTGGGACATTTAGTACGCCATAAAGACCCAATGTGGCAAATTTCAGCGAATTCGGTTGAAAAACGCGCTCAAGAACCCCAAAATACCGAAAATTAGGGATACCCTTATATGGGAGCTATGCCTAAACGTGGACCGATAAAGCCCATCTTCGAACTTGACCTGCCGGCAGACAAAAGACCCCAAAATTTCGGCGATCTATCTCAGTTCGTTTAGACGCTAGAGTGATTATAACAGACAGATAGACACGGCTATATCGTAATAGAATTTTACGCTGATCAAGAATATATATACTTTATAGGGTCGGAAATGATTATTATTTTAATATACAAAATTAATATTGTGCCTCGTCTACAACTTCAGTAGTGTTGGCGGGTTATTTGGGATACCATTTGTATTTTGTTTTTGCAAAATAGTAAGGCTTAATCCCAGTTTGTTGTTTTTATAAAAAAACAACTATTTATTAGTGGGGAATGTATGGCAAAAATCTTTCAAACACAAATGTCTCTTGTGACAATTCGAAGTTTTTACGTTACCAGCGATACGACCCCAATGAGAAGTTCGTTTCGTTGGCGCCTGACTTCGTGGTCGTCACTTTGTGACGAATGCACATAACGTTGTTGTTGGTATTGCTAGTTAAAGCAATAAACCAAACAGTATGACCGTGCCTCGTCTACAACTTTTTTTTATAAAAACAACAAACTGGGATTAAGCCTGACTATTTTGCAAAAACAAAATACAAAATTAATATTTTTTGTGGAGACATTTAGTACGCCATAAGAACCCAATGTAGCAAATTTCAGTGAATTTGGTTGTAGAACCCCAAAATACACTTATATCGGAGCTATGCCTAAACGTGGACCGATAAAGCCCGAACTTGACCTGCCTGCAGACAAAAGACGACTGTTCATTTAGACGCTAGAGTGATTACAACAGACAGACAGACGGACATGGATATATCGTCATAGAATTTTACGGTGATCAACTTTCGGAAATGATTATTTCGATGAGTTACAAACGGAAAAACAAAATTAATGTACCCTAATGAAGGTTTGTAACGTTCCACATATATATTTGAAGATTTAAAAGGGAAGAAAAATAATTTGCAAAATTTTTTGTTGTTGTTTTTTTGTGATCAAAGAAAAGTCCTTAATTTTGATGGCGGGCATGATAACTTCTCACTGGTACATCGGAATCCGAAAATTCCAATGGTGTTAGAAAGAGTACATGTCTGGCTCTCGTATGAACTAGGATTATTGACTTCGCACAACAATTAACAAAATGGCGGAAACAAAAGGAAACGAGATAGACACATGGTTCCTTTTGAGAATATGCATAGAATCACTTTCTAAGTCGATTTATGCATGTCCGTCCGTCCGTCCGTCCGTCTGTCCATGTATTTTTGTGAGCAAAGTACAGGTCGCATTTATGATCCGAATTGTATGAAATTTGGCACAGCTCATTTGTTTGGGCCAATGACGAACCCTATTGAAATTGGGAAAAATCGGTTCAGATTTAGATATAGCTCCCATATATATATTTAACCGATTTAATGTAAACGGTCCCTATATATCTTTCGATTTGCACGAAATTTGGTACAGCCTAATCATTTAGGTCTAGAATGATGTATGCCAAGTTTCGTAAAAATCGGTCAAGATTTAGATATAGCTCCCATATATAGTTTCGTCCGATTTCATGTAAATGGTGCCCCAAAGTCCCTATATATCTTTCGATTTGCACGAAATTTGGCATAACGTATTGAATTAAGCCTAGAATGATGTCTGCCAAGTTTCGAGAAAATCGGCCCTAATTTAGATACATCTCCCATATATATTTTCGTTCGATTTTATGTAAATGGTGCACCAAAATCCCTATATATCTTTCGATTTGCGCGAAATTCGGCATAACGTACTGACGTGAATCTAGAATGATGTCTGCCAAGTTTCGAGAAAATCGGTCCAGATTTAGATATAGCTCCCATATATAGTTCTTCCGATTTTATGTAAATGGTGCACCAAAGTCCCTATATATCTTTCGATTTGCACGAAATTTGGCTCAACGTACTGAATTGAGCCTAGAGTGATGTCTGCCTTGTTTCGTGAAAATCGGTTCTGATTTAGATATAACTCCCATATATAGTTTCGTCCGATTTCATGTAAATGGTGCACCAAAGTCCCTATATATCCATCGATTTGCAGGAAATATGGCATAACGTACTGAATTGAGCCTAGAGTGGTGTCTACCAAGTTTTGAGAAAATCGGTCCTGATTTAGATAAAGCTCCCATATAGTTTCGTCCGATTTCATTGATTGACGCACCAAGGAACCAATAGGAACAAAACGTTCTGAAATTAGTATAACCTAACTTGTGACAAGTTTGTTTGAAATCGCTTAATATTTGGATAAAGCTTCCATATATATTTTCGCCCGATTTCAAGTAAATTGGGCATCAAACTGCTCATGTTAGTCAGATTGACATCAAATTTTGCACAACTTACAAAATTGAGAATATAATTACGTAGTTGCGTTTTCTAGAAATACAGATATAGATATATTTGTTTGAAGTCGATTTACATACTTTTGTCCCATTGTAACAAACGAATGACATGTTTATGGATAGATCTAGGTAGATTCAAATTTAGATAAATATCACATATTTTATTTCATCCAATTTCATGTTAATAGTCCTGTTTAATATACCCATAGTGGTGAAGGGTATCATATAGTCGGCCCCGTCCGACTTTACTACTTTCTTTACTGGTTTCAATCTAACAAAACCTACAAATTGTTGACCTTTAATCTAGATTTGGTGAAATAATGATCTGAAAAGTTAGGATAAAATTGGATTTTTCGTTTCGATTTCTGGGGACCTCAGAAGAAGGTGCCTTGAATATAATTAAAAATCTCCAATCATTGGATATTTTAATTAAGTTCCATTCGACGGGATTTTTAGATATATACCTCTTTGATGGTATAAACGTGATTATTCCAAACAGGGGATCCTGGAAAAGTGGTTCCTGTCCTCTGGCTGGTCTATCAATAAATAATATGGTGGGTCCGAAGTGAAGAATGTACTGGGAGAATATAACGAACATTGTAGCGTTTTTTATGTACAATATCTTAGCAATTACGAAAGTGGTCGAAAAAGTGCTTATAAGCTAGGATCGGTGACTATATATGTTGATAACCGGGAGGTACTTAAGGCTTACAATAAATTCAAAAGCGGTTCATGACTGTAAATTTGTTCTGCATGACTAACGACAAATTGTTAAACTTTGTAAGGTTCCTGATTGAGGGAACTGAACGGCAATTTCTGTAGATGTCCAGCGCTAGACAGCAAAAAATATTTTGTTTTGTCAAACATTTGACTTGGTTATGCTAAAGTTTGGATGAAACTTCCTATGAGAATTATCGTTATTTGGTCCAAAGAAACTGGGGTTCTAAAACCTATATTCCAACGGGGCATATTTTTGTCTAATAAGCTTATATGGTATTTGCATGACATATAGTTTAAAACTGGGCAACTTTATACTTACAAAAATCTTAAATCAGTTAATGAATATTCGCGATTCAATTTTCCCGAATCCTCAAAGGTTGAATACATATTGAAATCGCACAAAGGATAACAATCACAGATAAGGTGTTCGGCATAATAATTGTTCTTATAATCAGCTCTTTCAGTTTGTAGCACAGAACTATAGAGAACTAAAATTAAAAACCTAAATATTTTAATTTAATTTTAATATATATAAAAATATATTCCCTTACCTTTATACTTCAAAACACATTCCCTTTCCTTGAGGCCACAATATGGCCACTTCTCCCTTTTCGGCCAGTATGGCAGAGTACAACGACATTTTTCATACAGCTTCTGGGAACGACATTCCATTAAACAATTCACTTGGGAATAGGAACGAAAATGAAATAGTTTTCGTTCGTTCGGTAAATAACAACGACGTGATGGTAAATTTAAACTGCTTATATAGTCGGTAGATCGGGTTTGCTGTGGTGTTATACGAATATATTTTACTGTTCCAGGTGTTACGATACTCTCCAAACCATTGGTATTTGTGAAATCATATGCATCTCTGATGAATACCTTCAGACCGGCAATTTTTCGTTGTGTCAAATGATAATCTTCCAAATCGGGATTTATTAATACAGTTAGACCAGTTTGAGCACCACAACTGGTAGTATATTCCTCATTGCTTTGAAAATCAATGCTGTAAATTAATCGAATATGTTATTTATGACACAAATGGAGAATAAATTGTTCTTGCGGAACTTCCCTATCGGCAACAGATCATGCAAACATCTTAAAAGTTATCCGGCGTATGGATTTTTTTCTTTATAAAAATCTTTATTCACTTTTGTATGGTTTCATACTAATGGTACAATAGTATGAAATCGTACAAAAGTATGTATGTAGATCTAGACCGATTTAAGAAAATTGTTTTGATATTCATGAAATTTGTACATTATTTCGTAAAAATTGTACCTTTCTCACGATTAAAGATTTTTACTCGCATTCTATGAGATCTTGTACATGGAAATATAAACTATGGACTTATAAAAAATGTCATTAAAATTTTTCTCTGTGTAATAATTTGCCAATTAAATACACTGAGTACCTTTTATCATATTTCAATTTTCCCATATGTGCATTGAAAGAACAACACATTCCCGATAAGGTGGGCACTTTTTGGAATATGTTGTGACAGCGTTCGTGACTACCCTTCCATTTACAACGTTGCAATAATGTTTCGCAGTTTGGGGCTATTTCATCTTGTAATTCAAACAATGTAATGTTATTCCTTTGGAGTAATAGGTCCAGTTGGTGATATTCCTCGTTGGTTGCGTTTATTGTTTGTGTGGCATAGAGAACCAAACGAAATAAGCGAATCAATTGGGGTTTGGTTAAATTACTATTGCGTTGACTAGAAATAAAGAAATCAACGTTTATAAATATTTACGATTTTCTTTCCATCTGAAACTTACAATCTTTCAGCCATTATATTGACTTTTGTTTTTGACATTAAATTCATGTTGCAAATGGTGACCGCTGGAAATGGTATAATCCATGTGGGAAATTGTGTACTCTCCGTATAAAGAATTGTGGGTGTATTGGTGTTCATTAAATGTGACAGTAGTAGAATAAATCCAGACATTGCGATGGCCACAAATATTACAAAACACCAAAATGCCCTTTGTGCCGTAGTAGAACCAACAAAATTGATGAAGCCATGTATACTGGCCATTTCACAATAAATTTCAAATCCAGATTTTCGTTTACACAGGCCATCATCGTTGCGTGCCCTTAAGAAAGATAGAAATTTTGGTAATTTCAATGAACCCCAACGCCTTCTGCCATATGATGTCTTATGACGCCATTTGGCTATTAATTGTTTTATTCTGCGGATTTGTTCTTCACTCTTTCCAGCCAATGAGCTACATTGTTTTTCAGGAGTTCGTAAAAATGTTTGGATTTTTGTTTTCTTAGTTTTTTGTAGGAATTTTTGTGTTTTGTCTTTTAATATTTGCCATTTAGATTTATGTCCTTCCACCAATACTGGATGTTGCAAGAGTTTTAATCGTAATTCTGGTTTTTCTTGCCGAAAAATATGCTTATCAACATTTCTTGCATTCAAATAACTTTCAAATTGAATATAGTAAATTTTTTGCTTATTTTCGATTTGTGGTTCAATTTTATTTGTTAACATTTTTTTTTATAGAAATTCACTATAACTTTTTGTGCTGTACACTTCCAAATTGTTGAAACAAGAATGTCTATTTCCAAGAAAGGAAATCCCTTATTTTATGGTTTTTCGATAGAAGTATTTTGACCTTCCTTTTCGATGTTAAAGATGATTATCAATACACTTGCCTGTTGTTAGCAGGCAACTATTGTCAGTGGCCTAAAAGTATGCTATCATTTTATGTGCAGTAAAGTGTTTCTAAATAATAGCCACTGCTGTGTTTTTGTATGGCTGCATAAAATATTATTTGAATATCCTCCACCATATCATGGAGGGCATATTCAAATTGTACGGTATTTTCAAATTTCCTGAGTTACATATGTTCGATTTACGCATTCTTATATCATCCATAAATTTGTTATTCTGTTTTCAAAAGTTTGAAATATTCGGAGACCCCATGAAGTGTATATAAAAACAATTTTATGCCGATTTGGTCATGCCAGTCTGTCTGCTGAAATAACGATTGAGATCACAATATTGAGGATGAAGCTTTAAAATTTTGCGCAGGCATTGTTAAAGCTCCTAGGATGTTTGGAATTGCAAATGGGAAAACTCAATCCACATTTTGGAAAAGACCCCATATAATGGTACAACCCAAGTATCCGGGTTTCTGTGGATTTTGAACACATTGTCTGTAAATTATTCTACCAGAAACTCATGGTACAATTATAAAAGGTAACAGCAAATCCCAGCTGATTTGATTCCAACGTAATACTAATGTCAATATGGATTTGACAAATTATGTTTTTTAAAAATCACCCAACAGGAAAATTGGGAACGCATACAATTTGAAATTGTTCTTTATTAATGTGCTCCCGTATTCAATTTACTCAATCTGCCTGCTGGGAAAGTTTGAGGAAGCAAATCTTTCTTGAAGGAATTACTCGCTATTCCCAGCATTGTCATATGTGTTACACATATATATGGAAATGGCTCAATTAAAGGAATGATGTGGAAGCGATAGAAATATAAATTTTATAGATTTTCATTCATGTTTTTCAATTTTTATTTTGAGGATTCGAAAATATTCCATTTTCAAAAAAAAAAAATAATTTGATGATAATTTGTTTGTTTGTTTACATTTTTCTGTCAAATGAGTTGACACTAGTAGAACTTACAACAACAAATTTCCATGTGGTTGTTGTATCGTTTTTTGTACAACAGCACTTGCTGTTACCTTTTATTATTAATTCATGCCAGAAACTATTAACATGGGTCCACTTTTTTGGGTAGCCTCCATATAACCGTACCTCCAGTTTTTAGCCAAAATGGCTTTAATTTCACATTTTGGATTCTCATTGGTTAGAAAATCTGCCTACCAATGTCTATCGATATTGATGCATGTTTCAGGATAGACCCCATATTATGGTTAACCCACCTTATTCGGTATTTTGGGCTTGATTTTAAATACAATGGTTTATAATTTAAAATTTGGCCGTTTTCGTTGAGTGTCAAATATTCTTAACAAAAATGATCAATATGAATCCACATGTAGATATAGCCCGGTACCCTCCTTCATCATATTCCTTATGTTCAAAGTTTTAGCTCAATTTTCCAACCTGAGTGTCTGAATTTTGGCATTTTGTTTCTTGATAAATTTTATATTTTATCGATTTTAAAGGTCTACCTAAATTTCGACGGGCCCGTTCGTCGATATTCATCACCAAAAGAAAAAGACATGCATTTAAATGAATGTTACCGAAATACGTAGACGTACGGAAGTTGAATATTTTTCTACGCCTCGTTGGAATTTAGGTAACGTTGTTAGATATTTTTAATGTCTACCTCATTGTGGAGGTATACTCTTCAATATTTTACTATTCGAAAAAATGAATCAAAAAGTAGTATTAAATTTTGTGAAAAACGGAGAAAAGAAGTATATACACCCTCAGCTTTTGGTATGTTTGGAAGTTACCATAAGGAATGCCCCCCATCTTCGGTCTTGATCTAAGTTTGGTTAAAGTAGAGTTTGTATCAAATCAGACAGAATTCGTTCAATATTGGACTTATAATAGAAGGGGTTGATAAAAGGTGTTACCGGATAGGCTTATTATTTAAAAATGTGTAGAATCTTCGAGAGTTATCGAAATAAATCGACTCCAAATTGTCTGAATGGGATTTGATCCGAAAAAACTTCGGTCCCAAAGAGATGAGATACAATTTTATCCTAGCAAAATGTATATACCCTCATTAGCCATAAGGCTGGGGATTTAACAAGTAAACACCGTGAGGACGACATTCAAAAAATATAAAATAATGGGGGCTCCTAGGAGAAAACTGATAGGACATTTAACCTTGAATTTTTGGTAGTACAATTTGACAGCCCATGAGAATACAAAATACCAAATTACAAACAATTCGGTTGAAAACATGTCTAAAATTTCCAAAAATCTGACTTTGGTCAATATTAATAATTTTTAGTAGGGAGAAGTGGGGTGTCGTAATACCCCATATTACGACACCCCCTTCTCCCTACCCTCAATATTAATAACTTTTAGTACAAGGATGTGCTATACAACGAGAACCCAAAATACCAAATAACATAAAATTTAATTTAAAAAAAAAAATCAGATCCAAAATTCTCAAAATACCAAATATTGGGGGAATGTTATATATTTATCGTTTTTGGTAGAGAGATATGTTATTCAACGAGAACCTAAAATACCAATCGACAACGGCTACGTTGAGGACTTTCGTGTTTGATTTATATGTGCCTATTTATTAAAATTTATAAAAGTCCAATAATTATAAAATAATAAATTGTATGGGCTTGAAAACAAAAAGTGTTCAAAGGTGTCCCTCTCCCCTGTATATGTATGTCGGTAACTCCTACACTTTTTTTTGAAGTTAAGTACATTGTTTGCTATAATAAGTTCTGTGTAACAATTAGACTGATAGTCTGCTTCAGTAGATATCGGACATAAGCATATCTCTTTTTTACATCTCCTCAGTGTAAACTTTGCTTCATATAAGAAAAACACATATACGAAATGTTTGTCAAACATCAAAGTTGACAAATGTATTTGAAAACGTTTCATATAAGAAAATATGTACGATTTTATATTATCAGCGTGATAACTCCCTACTCCAAAGAAAAATAAAATACTTTTTTTAATCTATTTGAAAGAATATTATTTATATGTATGGAAACACATGCACCTATTTTTAGTCAAACTGTGAATTGATTTTAATTTAGTAATTTTGTATTTTTATATGCTGCATTCTTTTGTTCAATAAAATGAAACGTGGTAAAGGGTATAAAAATGTGACATTATGTTTCGTGACTAAAAAGCTAGATGTCGCTGTTTGCATTATATTGCTAACAAAACCCGTATTCGTGCAGATGGTGAAGGTATGTTATTGTTCTAATTAACAGGAAATGTGAAAATTGTATTTCTGAGTTTCCCCAGTTTATTTTTGATGACTGTATTATCAAAATATATTGGTATGTTCCCGTACTGCAAGAATCTACAACTTTTTACTACGATAACGAATTTTCCTTTATGATATCGAAGAAAGTAGTAAGATCTAGTAGATTCTTGCAGTAAGGGAACAGACGATATGTATCAAATTCCAAATTCTACAAAAAAGTTATGCCATGTTTTGATGGGCATTCGAACAACGTAGTTTGCTCTCAGACTTACGTACATGAATTACACGTTCATACAACACTATTCTCAATGCATGTCATCAATGTTTATTTTTTTCAAACTTTTTGTTTCTTGTTTTACAACAAAATTGTAACAAATTTGCGTGAATCACATATAGATCTAAATAGAAAAAATAATTCTCTTTCTCCTGACTATAGTATGAACCCATATCTATTTGCTTTTAATTCATGTTTTCCATTTTTCCTGAAAATTCAAATGTCACATACAAAAATTTGGAGAAATTTTTGTTTGAGTTTCCCCACATTTGTGTCTTGTTTTGTACGCTAATTAGAACCAAGGGGAAAGAAGCTCACATTACATTATGTAGAAAACAAAATCTACATCCTGCTGCATATATAACAACTATACAATTTGTTACATTTTCAATTTTACTGAAAACGTTTGAAAATTTTATAAATATTTTCATGCGATAAATTCTCTCAATTGTTAGGGATAGGACAAATTTTTTGGTTATTCAGAGAGTGATTCGAATTGAACAATGTACAAAAGTCGGTATTCGCTCAGAAAATTTTGTATGGGGAACTAAGTAATTACTTCATGGTACAATTATAAAAGGTAACAGGAAATCCCAGCTGATTTGATTCCAACGTAATACTAGTGTCAATATGAATTTGACAAATTATGTTTTTAAAAATCACCCAACAGGAAAATTGGGAACGCATTCAATTTGTAATTGTTCTTTATTAAATGTGCTCCCGTATTCAATTTACTAAATCTGCCTGCTGGGAAAGTTTGAGGAAG